GGGGTGATTTTAGAACGAGTGGGTCGAATGGTCTTCGACCCGATCGTCGCGTTTCCTCTAGGACAGGAATTGCGGATGGACTGCGGCACGACAAGGAATCCACCGCGAACTTTCTTATTTATCACCTCAACTTATTAACAGATTCTCGAACAAAGCTTCATTATAATTCAACGATCAGGCTGGGACAACCTACCCATAATATTGGGATACGAGGATAATGAGTTGCACGTTCATTTCAATCATGAGATAAGATGAATGTTTTTGCGACTTATTTTGTATTACAATGCCCGCATAGGTCCATTTGACGAGATTGAGTTCATTGAGTGAATTCGGGCAAATCGCTTCGGAAATTCAGGAATAGAAAGGTTCGACATAGTCACCTATTGGAGTCGGCTAAGTTACCTGCGACGACTCCTTGGCGAGTAAAATGAATCAATTTTATGAAGGAATAAAAGCAACTCCAAATTTTTTTGGCCGAGTTGCAATCCTTTTTAATATATAGTTTATTCGGATCTTACAGATGACATGCAAGACGATGATAATAACTCTTTTTCACACCCGCAAGGAAGCAAGCGAATGAATATCAAGCTCTGAAGACAAAGGGGTTAGTTTAATACAGTCCGGGAGATAGACCTCGATTCTGACGAGGGAGCTTGAGGCGGCCTTAAAGATGTTATCTAATTAGCACTGCTTATGGATGGGACATTATTCGGTATAGGTTCGCACCTCGACGAAACTTCGACGACACGTATCTGATGGTTCGGTACAACGAAGGGTCGGAAAAATATGCCGAAAATATTCCCAAGATAAAATGATTGTTCTTAATCATTCTGCTACATCTCAACGAGTTGCATGGGCCATTCAATTATGTTCATCATTATCATCGGACTCCAGACGACAGATTTCGACACTTCAAGCAAATAATTTTCTCTGTGGCAGAATTCGAACGCGAAGAACGCCGATTGTTTTCGTTGATCAACTCTTAATTATGGTTCTCTTGTGAGTAAATGAATAGTGGACAGAGAGATCTTACCTTGGCGAGATACCTTCTTGTTCGTGACACAAACGACGATGATCTTATCAGAAGAGCAGAGCAGCTTTTGCGAGTCCGAGATGGTTCTTCTACCGGATGGATCGACTTTATCGGGTTACTCCGAAATGGTGAGGGATTTCTCCCTAACACTCGTGCGGATTTCCGAGCCAATACGACACATACTCCTGATGAGTTTTATGGTTATACATTATATTTTCATCGCGCAAGTAATCTCCAATGTCTCTCCCAAGTCATTGTGAGTATTAGGATTACCTCGTCCGGTAGACGTTTCGACGTCGTCCGGATCCGGGACACAGAGACCCGACACTTATTTGGGCTCAGTCGGCCTGTTCGAGTTATAGTATGGAGACTAGCCTCGCGGATGACCTCCTGATACTCGAATCGTTAGAGTTATGCGAGGTGGACGGACGAGTACCCTGGTTTTCAACAACGACGAGTTTGCATTATTGGATTTATTGGAGACTCGGGTGCGCGGAGGACGACAGATTTACCAGGGTTAGACGCCGCCTTCCATAAATCTTACTCGGATTCCGGAAAACACCTTGCATAGACTAATCCCATCGAGGAAGCCATATGACCTATGGCTTCACGAGGTAATCCCAAAAAACAAAAACAAAAACTCTTCATGTAGATAGGACCGACGGATGGATAGTATTCGGTCTACCCATATGATTTCACTATCATGCCTTGACATTGAGGGGTAAATACATAAGAAAAGAAAAGTAAACAAATACTTTTCATCAGTCTGAAATTTACCCTTAGACATTTTGTATGAAAAACTTCAAGCTGCATTTTATAGGGCCACCTAAAAACGTGACCCTAAAGATGGATTTAAGAAAGAAAGAAAAAAAGGGTGTAAGTACGAGATTCAGTTTAAAGGTTTAAAAGAGTTTTATCTGTATTTTTAATGAGATAACTGTATGTATTTTGAGGTTACATCAACGACGAGAAGGAATTACATCAGCCTGATCTTTTCATCAGACCCAATCGATCATGTTGAACATTGTGCTGTGATTTTCACAGTAATGATTGTTGAATTGATTGAATGAAAGATGTGTATTGCTTTAGGTGGATTCGCATGGATAAGTTATATAAATATATATATGTATGTAAGTGAAAGTTGTACGAGGTACTAGGGTTAAGTTGTGGTTTCCATATTTGATTGAGATCGCTCTAGTCGACCGGCGTGTGCTTCATCCTCAGGAGATCAGTGCCCTAAGTGACGAACGACATCTGGGTTCAATAGGCGTTTAATCGCGTGTACCTATACTAAAGTGAGCGAGCAAACGCCCTCGGCTGACTCACCTCTGCAAAAACACGTAAAAGCTTTCGCATGTGGGTCAGTAGCTCGGTGGGGATACGCCTCTAAGGGTGGTGACAGCCCCTTAGGGAAGAAAGCTTATGCCTTGCGGGAACCTATCATGTCGTTGGGGATCTCATGATGTACAACTGGCGCACCCAGTTAGAACGGCAAAGGGACGACGCGACCGCGGTCGTCTCGGCGGTCCATAGGATTAATTGCGCGCCATCCCCGAGTTATCTTTTGAAATTTGTTTTGTTTGACTTCTGCGTGACATGGTCGGGAGCGCTCCCGCCTCTTTCGTGAGAAAAGGCGGGGGCCGATGCGCTCGACAGCGGAAGCTCTATCTCCCCTCCTGCAATGACGTGTCACTTTCTATAGGGAGCCGTTACAGCCTGACCACACTATTGCGTACGCTTTGTACCGGTGGGCATCGGGGGAGATGTAGGAGAGTGGGACCTGCAGCTTCGGCATTGGCTGATCATCTGGGTTGGTGGTTGTGCGGGACGTGACTGCAGCGTTGCTGAGTGCGTACCCTCACAAGCTATCGTGGCCAACGGGGCTGCAGACGGCGGTCGTTTTGCACGCTTTCGCTGACAAGGGTATCCCGAACTGCCATGGGTGCATCGACTGCACCCACATCTACATTGAAAAGCCCGCGAATGCCCCCGGGGAGGACTACTACGATCGAAAACGCCGTTTCTCCGTCCAGGTGCAGGTGGTCATCGATCTAAACTTGGGCGTGCTTGACGTGTTCCTCGATTATCTAGGAAGTTACCACGACGTAAGGATCATCCACCTGTCAAGTTTATGGTCGCGCGCTGAGGCAGGGAAGCTTTTCACCAGACCACTTGTCATGCTGCCTTTTCAAGTGCAGACGAACGGGTATTTGCTGGGCGACAACCGTTATCCCCCCTCCGAATGGGTAGTCGTCCCGTATGGCGGTCTCGCAACGCACCCGTCGGAGTTGCGCTTTGACAACAAGCAGAAGACGGCGAGGGGGGCAGTTGAGATGGCTTTCGGCAGACTGAAGGGGATGTGGAGGTTGTTTCTCGCTCCCATAAGACGAACATGGACACGTTGCCGCAACAGTTCGTTGCTGTGTGCATTTTGCACAACATACTGATCGACGCGGGCATCCCATCCGACGACAATCTACTGTGGGAGGTGGGCCCTGACGGTGTGCGTCGCCGGGTGGATATTGGGATACACCGGCCCCTAAGGCCAATGTGCATGGAGTCATCGACGGGGGACGCGCTGATGCTGCGGCACGCATTGGCGGAGCGAATGGGTGCGCAATGAAGATGGCTAGGCGTGCGGATTGAGCGACTGCAATGACGTGCGTGCGGCGATGAGGATGGCGCAGACGACGCGGGGCGCCAGCGAAGAGGTCGTATATCGTCCATGAAGGGGTGTTCCTGGTTCCCCCTTCTACCGACGACAGAGTGTCGTTATGAAATAAGTGCCTTCCGATCTGCCGCCGTTAGGTTGTGGTCCGTCCAGGGCGAAAGGCCACGTGTTCTTGAAGGGGTCAACATCTGCATTGGCATCGTTTTGTTTGTGGGCTTCTTTTGTGGATTGGGGTAGTTAATGGCACTGGGGCTGTTTCGTTGTGGGGTGGTGTGCTTTACGTGGCGTGAGTGGCCAGTTACCTTTCGTGTTGTTTTGTTACGCGCGTCCATGAGGAGAGAGTTGCCGGCGCGGGTGGATGGCGATAGTGCAGTCCGACGTGTCCTCGGCGGGGGCCACGTCACGACCGCCTGCGTGGCGATAGTAGTTTAGGTGCACTGCATTGCCAGCACGGGTGAGGTGTCGGGGTTACGTAGTCAGTTTCGGAGGTGCGTGTTCTGTTTTTCGGAACTTGGGATTCAACAATCCATGACAGTCCTTTTTTTTTCAAACTGTGTTGTCTTCTTTATATCCTGCGAGTGACAACAAAGTCGCAACATCTCGTGTCATTCAACTGTATTGAGTGTCTTCTCTTCTTCTTTTACGGTGACTGAAAAAAAAAAACAATTTGCACGGCGTCGTGTGTGTCATTTGTATTGTCGTGTGTCCATCTTACATTTGCATTGTGTTCATTGTTTGTTTCATGTTCCCGAACCCAGCTATGAACATCCTCATGCGGGTCGTCGTTGCATTGTGTTCATTGTTTGTTTCATGCCATCGCTTCAAGAAAGCAGCCCTTACCACATTCAGAAACATGCTATACAATTTCGCATGTACAATGAAATGAGAAAACAACAAGCAATGCAAAGTTGTACACATCATTAACATCATTGAACAAATACGTGTTCGCTTTACCAGCTGCGAACATTGATCATCCATGTCTCAAAAAAAAAAAAAAAAAGGTTACGAAACATAACACACCACTACGACAATCGGAAAGCGCCAACGACGACCCGCATGAGGAGATCGCAATACCCCCCCCCCCCCCCCCCCTACCCTTCTCTTCACCTCAAGGACTCCATAGCGAGAACCTCCATCGCTGCCATTTCCACGATCAACCCGACTTTGGAGAGTCCACGACGCCGACCCTAAACATGGAGCGCTGGCTCCACACACTACAACACGACGACCACCCTATCCCACCCTGCAATGGCCGCCTCCGCTACGTGCCCGTCGTATAAGAGTCCACAAAATGTTAGACGGTTAAGTCAAAGACGGGCGCCATGGACGCTTCGTCAACCCTTCCCGCCGGCTTCGTCACCGGCCTTGTCCTCTTCTTCCTCATCTGGGGGGCCTGTACCCAACCAATCCAGCTTGTTGGCGTCCATGGGGGAAGGCAAGCTGGCGTCATGTGAAAACGTGATGTCGCAAGATGTCGAGTCGGGGATGTACAACAGGGGGTCGACCAAAGTCATCGGGGGTTTGGCCAACTTGTTCGTCACAACAGTTGCGGCTTGGAGGATATCGCGACGCACGTCAAACGACTCATGCATGGATGCGACTAACATCGACTTCTCTGTGAGTTGGATGAAAAGCCACATGTCATAATGCGCGCGCAGATCGTCCCCGCTCATCCGCATGAGCCACATGCTTGCCGAGAGCAGAATCCTCATCGCGTTCGCAATGTTCTTTAACCTGTCGTACGACACCCGCTCGCCGTCGATCCCCTCCGCCATGCTCACGACGCTCGTTAAAGCCGCCACCAGTCGCTGGATGCTTGCCTCTTGATACGATGCCATTTCGTTGTTCTCGTGTCTATCCTCGATGTCGGCGCCGATGAACCACACTGACAAATTCATGTCCATGTTCAACGTTGTGTGAAAGACCATAGGGCTGACACAAATACGCCAGTCCTCTCCCATCCACATAGCTCGAGCGATATTAGTGGCCGCGTTGTTCAACGCGTACCCGTATGCACCGTGGTACCCCCTTTGCCTGCTCTTGGATTTGAAGACCCACCCGTGGATAACCCGCAAACTGATGGTCTGCACCTTGAGCGCCCTCTCCTTCGCAGCGTTCAACTCCATCTCGTCGTCGATTTTGTGTTGGGGGATGCTGCTGTGAGGCAAGACGATGCTTCGACGAACAGGCGGAGGCTGCACTCCTCGCGCGACAACCACGAAATGCAGGCGCACTTCCTGTATTAACTTGACTATGGCGTTTCCTTCTGTTTCGTATCCGAAGCGCAAGTCATTTACCCACAACTTCGACGCCACCTCCATTCCATCTCACGTGTCCCGCCGCCGCACACTGTTCACCAACGCTTCATCATCCTCCCCCTCTCTGCTGACATCCACTGCCCTGATCCTCCTGTCTTGACGCCTCTTCTCCTTGCTGCCACCTCTGCTCAGAGGTTTAGGATTACGACCGTTAAAGTCATAGAGGGCACCACCTGGTGCAAAGGGGATCTGGGGAAACACCACATGTAACCAGTGTTCCCTCCAGTAACTCTCCCTGCGGAAAATATAGTCAGCAATCCGGTCGTAGGTGGTTCCCTTCACTCCCTGCCTAGCATCTCTCACGTGATAAGTGATCACCAATGTGTACCTCGATGTGGGAGACTCGTTGGCCCGAATGACAAAGCTCTGATACCCAATGTGTCGATAGTAGAACTTCTCAACCAGCTTACCCCATGTAGGGGTTGTCTCATGTTGAGAAGCCAGCTTGACTAATCTGCAAAATGATATAGAATGCCCCTGGCAAGCTGCTATGCCAAGCAATGATGTCCTGGAGATGAGGGGGATATCAATAGCCCAGGAAAATATCCCAACTCGATAGGGTCAAAGAGGACAGCACCTCAATAGACCCTCAAGCCAAACTGGTGGCAACCAACTCAATATAGGGGCCCGCCTGAGTGGGCCCGGCTGGATCAGCAATCAACTCGATATAGGGGCCTGCCTGAGAGGGCCCGACTGAACAGCAACAACTCAATATAGGGGCCCGCCTGAATGGGCCCGGCTAAACAGCAAACAACCCGATATAGGGGCCCGCCTGAATGGGCCCGGCTAAACAGCAAACAACCCGATATAGGGGCCCGCCTGAATGGGCCCGGCTGATCAGCAACAACTCGATATAGGGGCCCGCCTGATTGGGCCCGGCTGAACAGCAACAACTCGATATAGGGGCCCGCCTGAATGGGCCCGGCTGATCAGCAACAACTCGATATACGGGCTCGCCTGAATGGGCCCGGTTGAACAGCAACAACTCGATATAGGGGCCCGCCTGAATGGGCCTGGCTGAACAGCAACTCAACAGCTCAGCAACTCATCATAGCAATATCATACGAACATCTCTGCAGCAAGTGGACTAGAGCATGAGGACTGAACCGCAAATATCGTCACTGAGAAAGACTGATCATCAAGATATTATCTATGCAGGGGCCAGTTGCAAAATACTGCGCGTGCAGACCGGACCGCCCTGATATCATATGTGCAGGAAAATTACCGTCCGCACAGGGTCCGATATGAATATCGTCCATGCAGAGACTGATCAGCAAGAAATCAAATCAGCGGGATTTTGGGGCTAATCATGCCATCAGAGGCATTCAGTCACATCCTCAAGACTAATCACACTCGCTGGACATGCATCCCCGATCATTGTATCAGCGGGACACGCGTCCTAGAATCATCGGAGAACGCACTCGTATAGCCTACTCGAGCCTGGGCGCACTCATGTGACAGTACCAAGCGTGGGCGCGCAAGGGCGCACACTTTAGATCAATACTAAGCTTGGGCGCGCGTGGGCGCGCGCTCAAATCACGGTTCCAAGCTTGGGCGAGCATGGGCGCGCACTCAAATCGCACTGTCGAGCGTAGGCGCGCACGGGCGCGCACTCAAATAGTAATACTGATCATGGGCGCACTTGAGCGCATACTCAAATGACAATATCTAGCTTGGGCGCGCATGGGCACACACTCATATAGCAATACCGAGCTCGGGCGCGCACGGGCGCACGCTCATATAGTAGTACCGAGCTTGGGCGCGCGCGGGCGTACGTTCATATAGCAGTACCGAGCTCGGGCGCGCACGGGCGCACACTCATATAGCAATACCGATCTCGGGCGCGCACGGGCGCACACTCATATAGCAATACCGAGCTCGGACGCGCACTGGCGCACACTCATATAGCAATATCGTGCTCGGGCGCGCACGGGCGCACACTCATATAGCAATACCGAGCTCGGGCGCGCACGGGCGCGCACTCTAATATCACTGCCAAGCTTGGGCGCGCATGGGCGCACACTTTAATATCAATGCCAAGCTTGGGTGCACACTCTAACAATCAATGCCTAGCTTAGGCGCGCATGGGGGCGCACTCTGACAACAATGCCAAGCTTGGGCGCGCATGGGCGCGCACTCTAACAGCAATGTCAAGCTTGGGCGCGCATGGGCGCGCACTCTAACAGCAATTCCAAGCTTGGGCGCGCATGGGCGCGCACTCTAACAGCAATGTCAAGCTTGGGCGCGCACTCTAACAGCAATGCCAAGCTTGGGCGCGCATGGGCGTGCACTCTAACAGCAATGCCAAGCTTGGGCGCGCATGGGCGCGCACTTTAACGACAATGCCAAGCTTGGGCGCGCATGGGCGCGCACTCTAACAGCCAGACTGAGGCTGGGCGCGCACTCTAACAACCAAACTGAGGCTGGGCGCGCACTCAAACAGCCAAACTGAGGCTGGGCGCGTACTCAAAAATCATCAGAAGCAGTATACGCAGATTGAGTAAAATTCCACAGATTGAGTGCGCACTGTCGCACAAAATCAAAATCATCAAAGTCGAGTTTTGCATATCGATCATGCGGTGTCACACTCAAATTCGAGTGCRCACAGTTACACTTGCTCGGAATGATCAATGCTGAGTWTTCAAATTGGGTGCACACTGTTCAAAATCGTCATGCCAAGTTTATAGATAAAGTGCGCACTGTCGCACATACTCAAAATCATCAAAGCGGGTTTCTCAGATAAAGAGCGCAGTGTTGCATTCAAATCTGAGTGCGCCCAGTCGCATATACTCAAGGTCATTAAAACGGGTTCCTCAGATAATAAGCGCAGTGTCGCACTCAAATCTGAGTGCACACAGTCGCATATGCATCATTGGCTTTCTCAAAATAAGGGCGCAGTGTCGCACTCAAGTTTGAGTGCGCACAGTCGCAAAATCAGTGTACTCGATCTAAATGTCCCTTGGCAAACCAAAATCAGTGTACTCAATCTGGGTTCCTGTTGGCACAATAAATTGGCGAAGATACTCAATCTGAGAGCCTGTTGGCAATAAATCCCAATCTGGGTGCCTGCTGGCACAATAACTCGGCAATGATGCTCACTCAATCTGAGTGCCTGCTGGCACAATAATTCTCAATCTGGATGCCTGCTGGCACAATAACTCGGCAATGATACTCAATTTGAGTGCCTGCTGGCACAATAAATTGAAATGATAGTCAATCTGAGTGCCTGTTGGCACAGTAAATCGCAATGATACTCAAACTGGGTGCCTGCTGGCACAGTAACTCGCAATGATGCTCAATCTGAGTGTCTGCTGGCACAGTAAATCGCAATGATACTCAAACTGGGTGCCTGCTGGCACAGTAACTCGGCAACAGTGTTTAATCTGAGTGCCTGCTGGCACAATAACTCAACAATGATATTCAATCTGAGGGCCTGCTGGCACATTAAATCGGCGACAATACTCAATCTGAGTGCCTGCTGGCACAATAGCTCGTGATGATACTCAATCTGAGTGCCTGCTGGCACATTAAATCAGTGACAATACTCAATCTGAGTGCCTGCTGGCACATTAAATCAGTGACAATACTCAATCTGAGTGCCTGCTGGCACAGTAGCTCGTGATGATACTCAATTTGAGTGTCTGCTGGCACATTAAATCGCAATTATACTCAAACTGGGTGCCTGCTGGCACAGTAACTCGCAATGATACTCAATCTGAGTGCCTGCTGGCACATTAAATCGACGACAATACTCAATCTGAGTGCAGTAAATCGGCTTGCTTACACAAACAGCGACCCTCTGGTTCTCTAGCGCGATGCACTCAGGCATACAGGCGATCTTCAATTCTCTGGCGCGGTGCGCTCGGGTATACAGGCAATCTTCATTCTCTGGCGCGGTGCGCTCGGGCATACGAGCGATCTTTCGGCTCTCTAGCGCAGAGCGCTCAATTACACAGGCAACTTTCGGTTTTCCAGTGCAGTGCGCTCAGTCACATAGGCAATCTTCGATTTACTAGCACGGTGTGCTCAGACACAGAGGCGATTCTCGATCTGCTAGCGCGGTGCGCTTAGACACACGGGTGATTCTCGATCTGCTAGCGCGATGCGCTCAGACACATAGGCGATTCTCGATCTGCTAGCGCGGTGCGCTCAGACACACGGACGATTCTTGATCTGCTAGCGCGGTGCGCTCAGACAC